CTTAATTCAAAAGCTTGTTCTATTACATTACATCCAAAAAAAGTTTAAATCTTCATGCGAGTCTTACAAAATATCAAAAAGAAATTTCTAACTTCCCTAAGATAGCCAAAAGTCTTCGAAAGTTTCAGGCTCGTCATCTCCAGCTATGAGTTCCGCTTCGTCACCTGGCATAACACGCCGTGAGCTTTGAATGCCCAGTAAACACACACACACCCCGTCCCCTTTTTCCAGTCCAATACACAATCACAATTTTAACATCAAGTAGTAAATATGCTATTCAAATAAATAAAGAGCTATGTTAGATGTTAGTAAACTAGAAATCCCCCAAAGAGATTTCGTCCTCCCGACCACAAGAATGGGATGCGGATTATTCGGTATGCCCCCTCTTTTGCTGTTTTGTTGCAGAACTAACCTCAAATGCCTACCAACGGTTATATATCATGTAGCGCCAACCGCAGGGCCTCAAAAGAGACGGTAAAATGGCGCCTTGCCCAAATCCCTCCTCACACCAAACCACCTAGAGTCCGAATACAACCGCTCCGTTCAAGGGTCCTGAAAACCACTTGCGCAAGACTTTAACTTCCAAATAGGGAACGCATCCCAACAAATCATATATCACATATTCTCATCTTTTCATTACTCAAGTGTTCGAAAACCCAATACCCTTCATATTAGGTTTCCCGTTGAATTAAATGTTTTAAATCAAGGTTAGTCCAACTTACAAGACAATAATATCTATGTAAGCATGCATTCTTAAGATGAGAAAGGTAAATAACATAACTGCAACACATATAATATCATGCCAAGATATGATCATAAGCTAATAAGCAATCTCATGAACTCAAGGGCATAAAACATCCACCATAACACAATTTCCAGATTTAGTATCTCATAAAGATTAAAATGAAAGGACTATTTTAGATCTTTCACTGGACTCGGACTTCCTATGGCTTGTAGAGAATTTGATCTAGTTTCTGGAACATATTTCAGAAATGGGATAGTCTTTCTATATTTTAAGTTATTTAGAAAACATTCCAGCGCTGTCCAGATTTGTCGATCGTTATGAAAATTTGATTTTCTTGCAAACCGCTCACTGTTTTTATATAAAACCAATTTTAGTTGAAATCTAACTCCTTAAGGAAGATTTAGAAATAAAATAGAGGTCCAGAATAATTTTATACATTTTTCTAGAATTTTTTAAAGTGGGTTGCAAAAATAGATTCTAAGGTAAAATGCCCAAAACAAGAAGATTTATGAGAAAATGGTTCCACCACGGGAAAAATTTCATTTCTTTTATGATAAAAACATGCTAAATAACATATATTAAACTCAGAAAAATTGCTTGAAAGTGTGCCCTTGGAAAGTTGAGAGATTGGTATGAAAAAAAAAGGTTTTGTGCCGAAATAAGGAAAATACAAGAGAGATAGAATCAATACTCAACTCTTAGCATTTTTAACACAAGTAACTCATCAATAACAGATCTGAAAACATTATTTAGAACCCTTAGAAACGTGTATTTGAAAAAGGAAAATGAAAGAGAAAGTTGTGTTGTGACTTACTTGCTAAGTTTTGAATAGGAAGGTTCTCTTCTTCCTCATTCTTCCTCTCTAGACTTCTCTCTCTTGCTCTCCTCCCTCTCCTCTAGCCAAATGTGTGTGTGAGTGTGTTGTTTGTGCTTGCCAAGCTAGGGAATGTTGGTATTTATAGACAATTTTTGATGTAAAAAGTCCTAAAAGCCCATTAGTTGGAAATGAATGGAAATGATAGGATTTGTTTAAAGTTTAAAGGAATATGAGTGATTTGGGGGGGCTTACTCATAGGTTTAGGCAACATTTAGTTGAAATGGAACTAGTATTGGAATTATCATCCTAGGTCTAGGGTACTAGGTTTGTGGTTTTCTAGAATTTCATGATGATAAACTTTGAAAATTGGCTCCTCATTTCCTCCTAGAATGGCCGGCCCTAGGGAAGGATTCAGGGGCTATTTTTTATTTTTTATTTTTTTTTATCAATTTAGGTTCTAGGGCACACTTCTCACGGTGTATATATATATATCTCACTTGATTGATGGTACTCATCGTACAAGGGTACAAGTACTAGTTTTTGGGGAAATTTTGAATTTAAATAAAGAGTGAGGGTTTGGTATTAAATTCATGTAACTTATGTAGAATTAAATTAGGTTAGGGAACCCAATCCGGCTAGAGTAATTCCTGTTTTAATAAAAATAAAAATAGTAATGCTAACCGACAAGATTCGAATTAATTCAAGTAATCGAGGGACTTTAAGAAAATAATTCAAACATTAAGGTCTTTAAAGAGAATACACATTTCAGGGCCTCACAGTTCTATTTATATACTACAAAGTAAATGTTCGCATATAAATTTATGAACAAAAATTAATTATTTTGATATAAATAGTTGAATAATAGTATTTACTTTTTGTTTAAAAATTTATATTCAAGCAATGTTATACCTCCAATTTCTCTCCTTCAAACTCTCCCAATGATGTGACAAATACTACTATAATCAACAATAAACTATCATCAAATTGTTTGTCATATCATTCGAAGATTTTGGAAGAAGAAAAAATACAAAGATGAAGTATTTTTCTTTCGGAAAAGATTATGAGATGTGTTCCGTATACACTTTATAATTAAAATAACATAATTTTATATTTTCTGAGTTAAAATTAAAAAAAATAATAATAACTAAATAACATGAGGTATAATTAAAAATTTCATGAGCCATAAATAAATTAAAATTATAATTAAAAAAATAATTATAATTTTATATGAATGTTTATAACAAATTATTATTCAGTTTTCTGAATTCAGTTTTTTGAAAATTGAGTTTTTTGTTTTTCATATTTTTTTTTTGTTTTTAGTGAATTTTTAAAAAATTTTAAGTATTTTTTTTTTTACTTTTTTAGATGCACTATACTTGGATGTATCTAAATAGTAAAATATTTATAAAAAAATATTTTCAAAAACTAATAAATACACAAAAATATGAAAAATGTACTGAATTTTTGTACTTTTTTTTTTTGTATTTTTTAAAGATGTTTTTCACAAATATTATACTTTTTAAGTTTATTTATGTTAGATGTGTCTAAAAATTAAAAAAATGCTTAAAATATTAAAAACATTCATTGAAAATATTAAAATACGGAAAATAAAAAAGTAAAATTTTTTGAAAATTATTTTCTTAAAACCAAGACCAAACAAAGTGATTATTATTTACCATGTTTATTTCCAGTTTTTTGAAAATACTTTTAAGAAAATTCTACTTCTTGTTTTTCGTAATTTTTTTTTGTTTTCACTGAATTTTTTTAATTTTTATGTAATTTTTGTAAGAAAAAATTAATCTAAGGTCCCTCTTCCATATTTAGTAATAGAAGAGATCCACAATATCATTTTATAATGTCTAAGGTCCCTCATCCTTCACATTCATATATCAGAGAAATTTCTCAAATCAAACCTCATTTTCTCTCTCTCTCTCTAAACTCTCTTCTTCTTCTCCTCTCTGTGTCTCTTTTTCTCTCTAAAATGTTCTCTCTCTAAAGCAATAGTCTTGATCTTCCAAATCGTCCCCATTCCCACCACCATTGCAATGCCCATGCTCGTCTCCGATCTCTGCCCTTTTCACCGAAACCGTATGGTGGAAGGATCGAATGTCGCTACGGTCCTCAGATCGGCCAAACCCCAGCTCCGAGTAGTCTGTTTTAGAGAGCAACGTTTCCTTGCTTCTCTCTGCGAAGCTGTGCTTCAGTGATCTGGTGAAATCTCCAATCAGCTACATCTCTCACTCTTCTTCTTATTCTTCTCATTCTCTAGGTATCGATCATGTCATTTTGCTTTGTTTTTTTATTTCAATTTCTTATTTATTTCTCGTTTCTTGACTTTTTCTTCTCTCTCTCTCTCTCTCTCTCTCTCTCTCTCTCTCTATATGTATATATATTTATACACATACATATACACATGCATATTCATGTATTTATGTATTTGATTGATGTAATTTGGTTGAGGAGGCAATAGTCAATTCGAGTAATTTTATTTGCGGTTATTCAGAGTGAGATATTGGTACCAAAAATTTGTGAGTTTCTGCGACTGTTATCTCTGGATCAGAGTAAAATTATATAGATTTTGCGGCCAAAATGTTCATTTCTTGTGATCTTGAGTGCTTCTCTTTGAGAAATTTGTGCTAAATTTCTTTGGTTTTGTTAATTTTCTCTGCGATGTTCAATTTTCTCTGATTTTTTTAGTTTGAACTCAGAGAAATGTCAATTTTCTTTAGTTTGAACCCAGGAAAATTCTTTGGGAAGTTCAGAATTTCTCTAGTTTGGAGAGAATTTCTCTAATTTGGATTGGATTTTCTCTAGTTTGGAGCAGAGAATTTCTTTGGTATAGATTGAATTTTCTCTAGTTTGGAGTAGAGAATTTCTCCAGATTGAATTTTCTTTGGTTTGATTTGAGGGACCTTGGACATTATGAAATTATTTGATGTACTTTGTGTTATAAAATCTTAATACCAAGGACCTTAAAAAAAAATCTATTTTTTTTTAAATTTTTAGACACACCTAACATAAATACACTCAAAAAATATAATTTTCATGAAAAAAATCTTTAAAAAATTCACTCAATATAAAAAATACAAAAATTCAGTATATTTTTCGTATTTTTTTTTATTTATTAATTTTTTAAAATATTTTTTCACAAATATTTTAATTTTTAAATACATCTAAGTGAGGTGTATTTAAAAAAAGTAAAAAAAATACTTAAAATTTTAAAAATATTCACTAAAAATAAAAAATACAAAACACAAAAAACAAAAAAACTTGATTTTAAAAAAATTTAAATTTAAAAAATTAAAACCAAACACACTTATTATTATTATTATTATTATTGATGCAAAACAGATGTGTATTGAAATATATTATTATTATTATTATTTTTTATTGATGCAAAACAGATGTGTATTGAAATATCTTATAGAATTTCCGTTTCGCTGTGCACAGTAGAGTGAAGGCCTGAAAGCCGAAAGTGACGAACCAATGAAAAACACAGCAAATAAACAGAGCACATGAAACCAAAAACTCCTCCAAAGCACAGAAAAAAGCACTCAACTTTCCGCTGTCTCTCGGAATTATTAGGGTTCTTCTTCTTGCTTCCTGTTGCTTTTTAATGACCTTTTCCACCCAAATTCAATGCATTTTCCTCTCGATTTCCACAAGATCCACAACCTCAGAAAATCGCCGCCTCTGAGATCTCATATTCATTTCACTAGTACTTCTCCTCCTCCTCCTCCTATATATGCCATGTTTGGTTGTTGATTTCAAACCCCACACAATGTTTCAGATCGCTGTTTGTTTTCTTCCTTTGATTTGGTTTCAAAGCGTTCGACTTCGAGATCCGATCTTACGATAAATCTTCATTCAGCATCGGGAATTCCAAATTTGTGCTTTGATTTCGAGTTTCTGCTGAGGAATCGAAGCGAATATGTATATGCGAATGCCTTTCGTGCTTCAATTTTCTCGTTTTTCATTGAAATTTCAGTTTTCGTGACCAATCTGATCGATTTTAGGCCTCTACACACTCATGGTTCAGAAACATTCTCTTCAAAAATTACTTAGACAGTGATGGGTTGTGCTTGTTAAGTGTGTAGATTTGTTCTAAAGCTATACTTACTAGTGCTATTTTGTGGGTTTATTATTACAAGTGTTTTTGAGTTTGAAGAAATGATCACAATGTCCTGCAAGGATGGTAAGGGAGTGATGGATAATGGGAAATATGTTCGATACACACCTGAGCAGGTTGAAGCCCTTGAGAGGGTTTATCACGAATGCCCCAAACCCAGTTCAAATCGCCGCCAACAGCTCATTAGAGAATGCCCTATTCTGTCCAACATTGAGCCCAGACAAATCAAAGTTTGGTTTCAAAACAGAAGGTATAATTTCTGTTTATCTTCACTGATAAACACATATTGTAGGCTTAATTGAATTGCCTTCTGTATTATTATGTATTTGAATTAATGTTACATTTGTTTTTGTATGCAGTGACACATGATTAATCATTGATTCCTTGTAATGTTAAAAATAGTAAAAATTTTCTTTGATTGTTTTACGTTTCTGCAGATGCAGAGAGAAACAGAGGAAAGAGTCTTCGCGGCTTCAATCCGTGAATAGGAAGCTGACGGCTATGAACAAGCTTTTGATGGAAGAGAACGATAGGCTGCAGAAACAAGTGTCACACCTGGTGTATGAAAATGGCTACTTCCGCCAACATACTCAGAATGTGAGTATATATACTTGTTCATTATTTATGTGAATCATAATCTTTAAATTAGTTGAATTTTATATATGATGCAACATTGATTTGAATCAAATATAATTGGGATTTGTTGAGATAAAGAAGGGTTGTTTTTGTTGCAGACGACACTTGTAACTAAAGATGGAAGTTGTGAGTCGGTGGTGACGAGTGGTCAACAACACTTGGCGCCTCAGCATCCGCCAAAGGATGCTAGTCCTGCAGGGTTAGTGGGGATATGGTTGTTGAGCAAGGATCCTCTAGAGTGATTTTTTCCTAAAGTTTCCTAAAGTGCTATACTGTGTGGTTGAGATTTACTGGCAAGTTACATCAATTTTTCTGATGTGACTTGCCAGTAAATCTCAACCACACAATGTAGCACTCTAGGAAACTTTAGAGAAATTTAACTCTAGAGGATCCTTGGTGATGGTTGTTGGGTCATTTTCTTTTCATTGTGCCTTTTTGACCAACCTTCTTGTGTGTGTTTGTGCGTCACTTGTGGATTTTCATGCTTTTGTATTTTTTCCAGGCTTTTGTCCATTGCAGAAGAGACTTTAACAGAGTTTCTTTCAAAGGCCACTGGAACTGCTGTTGAGTGGGTCCAAATGCCTGGAATGAAGGTATGGCTGCAACTTCAAGATAATAAATAGTACATGGTTCTATTGATTTATGTGCATTATTTTTTAATAAATTACTCTATGTACTTTCTTACTTTACATCAATCCCATTTTTGTCACGTATTTTTCAATTGTAAGAGTCAACCGCGTACTCTTTTGGTCAAGTTGCAATATGGCCCTTCTATTTGTTTGATGTTAACATTCTTAATGGAAATTGTCATGTAACCCTCACATGAGGCAATTTTTATGATGAAAAATGTAATTTTTTCCCATCTTTTCTGCTTGTTTTTTATTTATATTTTTCACAATATGTTTATTTATTTATTGTATTTTCCAAACCCAGTCCTTACCTAATAGGTTTAGAAAATACTATACAAAGAAAATAATGTGGAAAAATATAGAAGAAATAGAAAAGAGAAAAAAAATTACATTTTTGACCTAAAAAATGGCTCATGTGATGGTCAGATGACAATTCCTGTTTGGTAATTTAACACCAACATGGAATGGTCACATTGCAAATTAACTGAAAGTGTAAGGGATTGATTGTTACAATTAAAAAATGGGAGACAAAAAGTGAGATTTGATATATAGGGTTGGTTTGGGATGTTCTAAAAAAGTGCATTTTTTGATTTATTGGCTTATATGGGTTGGGGTTGGGGTTGGGTTGGGTTTGATGTGATGTGTTAGAGAGGTGATGTGATTTAAATAAGATGATGTGACTTAAATAGGATATTGACTTTTTGACTTTTTGTATTTTTGTATTATTTAGTTTATGCCAAACCAACCCATAGTGTGGGGGTGCAAAGTGTAATTTATCCTTATTTTTATGTAGTTTGTTTTCCAGTTAATATTGGACAATTGGAACTACGTTTGTGTCATTCTTAGTGTTTAGTTTTTTACATAATTGGTCCCAAGCATGGACAAAGAGGAGGGTTGTGTGTTAGTTAAATTGACAACCAACACGTAAAAATCTCCGTCAGATCCCACATGAATTGAATATATGGAATGTGATTTTAGTAATATTAGAAGTAGAAATAATGGAGTATTGAAGATTGAAAACTAGGAGATACTAAATAGTGAACATTTTTATTACCTAGGTTAAATTATTAATAAGGTGGTGAGATTAGATATGATATGATTCATAGAATCAAAACAAGTTGGCTTCAGTGGGGAAGTGCATTTGGTATATTATGGTCTCGTTTGGGAATAAACTATTTTATTAACTTTTTGATTTTTTATGAAAATGTGTGCATTTTCATAAAAAGTAGAGAGAGTGATGTGACAACTTATAATGGCTTCTTGAATTTTTGGTTAAAATGTTTAGTCCTAAGCGAGGCTTATGTGATCGACCAACATCAATAAAATTGAAAGAAATTTTTTATAGAACAATTATAAGGTTAGTAGTCCTTTATAGGCAAGGTTTTAAAAAGCGGCCGCAACCGTTACGTAACGCCGTTACGTAACGGTTGTGGTGGTTGCCGCCACCCGTTACGGCCGCTTTTGCAGTGTGATTGAGATTCACAGGTGTATCGGCCGTAGCGGCTGCTATGGCGGTCGTAACGGTGCCGTAATGGCCGTAACGGCCTGTTACACACTGTTACGTAACGGTTCCGAATTGCTTCTTTCGAAAAAACACGCCAAAAAAAAAAAATTAAAAATGGGGGAAGAGAGATAGAGAGAAGAGCAAGAGATAGAGAGAGAGAAGAGGGAAGATGAAGAACATGTTATTGATTTGTTTAAGCTATAAGACCTATGCTATTGTATTCAGCTGCTATCACTCAACCATTTTGTTTGTGTGTGTCTATCTATATATTGTTTGAAAATAATAATAATAAGTGTGGTCATTATCTATTGATTTGATTAAAATATATATATATATATATATATATATTTAAGTATTTATTTATTCTCTTACTTTTGTCATTGTTTATCTTATATATAATAGTTAGTGATTGATTTTTTGTATAATATAAAGTTATTAATTATTAAAATAAAATGTAAAAAACTCAGTTTATAGTGCTTTAAAAATACGAAATACATTGGATCAAACTTTAAAATTTACAAAAATTGATCAATATTTATTTTAAAACCTAATAAATATGATCATGGAAAAAAAATGTGCGTATCGGTAAGTTTTTTTCAAATTGTACGAAAAATAAAAAAATTCACGGTTCCGGTTACCGCAACCGTTACGCTACGGCCTTTACACCCCGCAACCGCAACCGCGTCACCGCAACCGTTACGGCGACCGCAACCGCTTTTCAGAACCTTGTTTATAGGACATAATATTAGGCAATTAAGAAATAACCCGTTCATAAAATGAGTATAGTGGAGATGAGAATGTTTAGATGGATGTGTGGTAAAACTAGAAAAGGATTAGAAATGAATATATTTGTGAAATGGTAGGAGAAGCACATATTGAGGATAGGTTGAGAGAACAAATTAAGATGGCTTGTTCATGTCAACAAAAACTTATATGATCATCGCAAATGTAAATCTTAAGGGGAAGGGAAAACTTAAATTTGCATGAGGTGCAGTAGTAAAAAATGATATAAATTTATCTAATTTAACTGATATTGCTTTTGACAGAGCGAAATAGTGAAAAAGGATTTATGTAGTTGACCCCACTTGAGAGAGGCACAAAGCATAGTTTCATTTGGTTTGGTTTAATAGCGGAGAGATGTAGGGTTAAAAATAATAAAACTGATATTGTCATGCTAAATTGATGTAGGACAGCGCTGAATTTTGAAAACAGAGGTTATTTGACGGCCTTAACAATGAGTAATTTAGGAGGGTTAAATTGAAGGCTAATAGGTAGGGGAAGGGATTATGGTTGATTTGGAGGTGATTGGATAGAGTTTTAAGGTTGAAAAATGCACTTTTAGAGGGCTGTGAGTAGTAATCCGAGAATAGTAAATTGAAACAGAAAAAGAAAAAGAAAAAGAAAAAAGAAGAACAAGATAGGCCTCGAAATCACTCATAGAATCCTTTATGCATCACATGTAGAGTTTGATTGCATCACACAATCCATAAAGAAGCTTCTAAAGCTCTTGAAATTCGCAAAAATATCAACTCCCTTCTTTGAATTAGCCTTCCTTGAGCTTTTTATATTCTGCATCATTTTCCCTTGGTTGGAAAAAACTCGACCTCAAGTTTTGAAGTATTGGAGTGTAATAATCCACAAGTTTTGAAATTGCATCAATGGTTTTACATTAAAATCTTCAAGTTGATGCCACCTTTTCTTCATTGGAGATAGCAACAAAAATAATGAAAGATTGATCTTTTCAATCTTGCCTCTTAATTTTTTTGGAATAACAAAGTCAATTGGCATAGAAAACACATCCTTGAATTGATCCAAATTAGTTTTCGTAAAGTTTGCTTTGATATTCCCAACAACAACCACAATCTCTTGCTTTTTAACCTCTTTTCCCAATACAAGGTCATCTTTTGTTTCACTTTTGGACTCTTCACACATCATGATTGGAGCAAAGGCATTGGAGACCTCGGATTGAAATGTCATGGCCTCTAAAGGGATTATATGCCCTAGACCAGCAATTGCTCTTTTAAATTCATTGCTCTTGAGCATAATGAATGACACTTTCTTTGATTTCACCCTTTGCCTTTTCAAGTTCAATACATGGAGTGTCAAGTGGTGGCTTCTCATCCTTCATAATCTACCAATCATTCTCTTTAAGCTGATTTTGAACATATTCCTTGTCTTGCAACTTCAACTATGTAGGGTTTTGATCACTAATAACAACATCTGGCTTTGGCGCATCTTGCTGTGAATTTTCAGCATCTGTTTTGTGGCACTTTAATCCTTTTTTTGGAGTTTTTGTTGGCTGGTCTTGGTGTACTGCCTTTATTTATTTATTGTATTTTCCAAACCCAGTCCTTACCTAATAGGTTTAGAAAATACTATACAAAGAAAATAATGTGGAAAAATATAGAAAAAATAGAAAAGAGAAAAAAAATTACATTTTTGACCTAAAAAATGGCTCATGTGATGGTCAGATGACAATTCCTGTTTGGTAATTTAACATCAACATGGAATGGTCACATTGCAAATTATCTGAATGTGTAAGGGATTGATTGTTACAATTAAAAAATGGGAGACAAAAAGTGAGATTTGATATATAGTGTGGGGGTACAAAGTGTAATTTATCCTTATTTTTATGTAGTTTGTTTTCCCAGTTAATATTGGACAATTGGAACTACGTTTGTGTCATTCTTAGTGTTTAGTTTTTTACATAGTTGGTCCCAAGCATGGACAAAGAGGAGGGTTGTGTGTTAGTTAAATTGGCAACCAACTCGTAAAAATCTCCGTCAGATCCCATATGAATTGAATATATGGAATGTGGTTTTAGTAATATTAAAAGTAGAAATAATGGTGTATTGAAGATTGAAAACTAGGAGATACTAAATAGTGAACATTTTTATTACCTAGGTTAAATTATTAATAAGGATAGTGAGATTAGATATGATATGATCCATAGAATCAAAACAAGTTGGCTTCAGTGGGGAAGTGCATTTGGTATATTATGGTCTCGTTTGGGAACAAACTATTTTATTAACTTTTTGATTTTTTATGAAAATGTGTGCATTTTCATAAAAAGTAGAGAGAGTGATTTGACAACTTATAATGGTTTCTTGAATTTTTGGCTAAAATGTTTAGTCCTAAGCGAGCCTTATGTGATCGACCAACATCAACAAAATTGAAAGAAATTTTTTATAGAACAATTATAAGGTTAGTAGTCCTTTATAGGACATAATATTAGGCAATTAAGAAATAACCCGTTCATAAAATGAGTATAGTTGAGATGAGAATGCTTAGATGGATGTGGGTAAAACTAGAAAAGGATTAGAAATGAATATATTTGTGAAATGGTAGGAGTAGCACAAATTGAGGATAGGTTGAGAGAACAAATTAAGATGACTTGTTCATGTCGACAAAAACTTATATGATCATCACAAATGTAAATGTTAAGGGGAAGGGAAAACTTAAATTGGCATGAGGTGCAGTGGTAAAAAATGATATAAAGTTATCTAATTTAACTGATATTGCTTTTGACAGAGCAAAATAGTGAAAAAGGATTTATGTAGTTGACCCCACTTGAGAGAGGCACAAAGCATAGTTTGATTTGATTTGGTTTGGTTTAATAGCGGAGAGATGGAGGGTTAAAAATAATAAAACTGATATTGTCATGCTAAATTGATGTAGGACAGCTGAATTTTGAAAACAGAGGTTATTTGACGGCCTTAACAATGAGTAATTTAGGGTTTAAAGGGTTAAATTGAAGGCTAATAGGTAGGGGAAGGGATTATGGTTGATTTGGAGGTGATTGGATAGGGTTTTAAGGTTGAAAAATGCACTTTTAGGGGGCTGTGAATAGTAATCCGAAAATAGTAAATTGAAACAGAAAAAGAAAAAGAAAAAGAAAAAGGAAGAACAAGATAGGCCTCGAAATCACTCATAGAATCCTTTATGCATCACACGTATAGTGTGATTGCATCACACAATCCATAAAGAAACTTTAAAAGCTCTTGAAATTCTCTAAAATATCAACTCCCTTCTTTGAATTAGCCTTCCTTGAGCTTTTTATATTCTGCATCATTCTCCCTTGGTTAGAAAAAACTCGACCTCGAGTTTTGAAGTATTGGAGTGTAATAATCCGCAAGTTTTGAAATTGCATCAATGGTTTTACATTAAAATCTTCAAGTTGATGCCACCTTTTCTTCATTGGAGATAGCAACAAAAATAATGAAAGATTGATCTTTTCAATCTTGCCTCTAAATTTTTTTGGAATAACAAAGTCAATTGGCATAGAAAACACATCCTTGAATTGATCCAAATTAGTTTTCGTAAAGTTTGCTTTGATATTCCCAACCACCACCTCAATCTCTTGCTTTTTAACCTCTTTTCCCAATACAAGGTCATCTTTTGTTTCACTTTTGGACTCTTCACACATCATGATTGGAGCAAAGGCATTGGAGACCTCGGATTGAAATGTCATGGCCTCTAAAGGGATTATATGCCCTAGACCAGCAATTGCTCTTTTAAATTCATTGCTCTTGAGCATAATGAATGACACTTTCTTTGATTTCACCCTTTGCCTTTTCAAGTTCAATACATGGAGTGTCAAGTGGTGGCTTCTCATCCTTCATAATCTACCAATCATTCTCTTTAAGCTGATTTTGAACATATTCCTTGTCTTGCAACTCAACTATGTAGGGTTTTGATCACTAAGAACAACATCTGGCTTTGGCGCATCTTGCTGTGAATTTTCAGCATCTGTTTTGTGGCACTTTAATCCTTTTTTTGGAGTTTTTGTTGGCTGGTCTTGGTGTACTGCCTTTGTATTCTGCAGAAGTTTCAAAACAGTAGATTTCTCCTTAAATTTTACAAAAAATTCTAATTGTATTAGCAGTTTCAATAGCATCTTCAAGACAGGGTTGTAAGGATTGTAAAACTGACTTCCTGTGGTTTTTGATGGTTGCTTAAAGCTGAAAATCAATAGGAATTTTAGGATTTCAATTAATGAATGGAATGAACTGCGTTTAGGATTAATAAACCAGGTGAAAGTGATCAAAACTGTTCGGGAGCTGTGAACAGTAGCTCGTGAATAGTAAAGTGAAAGAAAGAAGAAAGAAGAAAGAAGAAAGAAGAAAGAAGAAAGAAGATTGGTCTAGACATCGCACCTGAATTTCATAAGCATCACATCTAGGGTTTGATTGCATCACAATCCACAAAAAAGCTTCAAAAGCTCTTCAAATTCTTTAAAATATTAACTCTCTTCCCAAGTCAATTCACTAGTATAGGATCTCCTACAATGTGAAAACATTAGTGCGGATTAATAAACATTATTTAACGAGTGATTTAGGATTTAGAGGGTTAAATTGAAGGCTAATAGGTAGGGGAAGGGATTGGGGTTGATTTGGAGGTGAGATTGGATAGGGTTTTGAGGTTGAAAAATGTACTTTTTAGATGGCTGTGGATAGTAATTCAAGAATAGTAAATTGAAACAGAAAATAAAAAGAAAGAAGAAGAGAGGCCTTGGAATCACTTCTAGAATCCCTTAGGCATCACACCTAGGGTTTGATTGCATCACACAATCCATAAAGAAGCTTTCAAAAGCTCTTGAAATTCCCTAAAATATCAACTCCCTTCTTTGAATTTAGCCTTCCTTGAGCTTTTTATATTCTGCCTCATAAATATAACACAAAACACAAGTTAACATTTTTGCCATTCTCCAGTATCATGGCTTTTCCCAGGCTTCCAATAGTGATCTGTTGTTACAAACAAATTTGATTTCCATTTATTGATTTTTGTATTTATTTATATTTTTGAAAAGGTTGATTCCAATTGTTCTGTTAAAAAGCTAGTCAATAATCTATCCTTTCCTGAATTATTCTCTTTCTCATATGCTTAGCCTGGTCCGGATTCTATTGGAATCGTTGCTATTTCTCATGGTTGCACTGGTGTGGCAGTACGAGCATGTGGCCTGGTCGGTTTAGAGCCCACAAGGGTAAGATACCTCAGTTTCCTTCTCGCTCTTCTTTTGTTTTGTATAAGTTGACTTGAGTTTATGGGAGGCGTTAATTGGCTATGCTCCTTCCAGGTTGCAGAAATCCTGAAGGATCGGCCTTCGTGGTTTCGCGACTGCCGAGCTGTGGATGTGCTGAATGTGATCCCTACCACTAATGGTGGGACCATTGAGCTACTTTACATGCAGGTAGTATTAGTCATTTTGTTCTTTTTTATATGGTGGAGCATTTATGGTATGACTTCTTAATGGATTTTGGAATTGTTGCTGATATCTATAGCTATATGCGCCAACGACTTTGGCACCTGCTCGTGACTTCTGGTTGTTACGCTATACTTCTGTTATGGATGATGGAAATCTTGTGGTAAATGGTTCTTCAAGTTTATTAATTCAATTTCTGCACAGTTCATCTAGCTGTTTTCCTAGTCTGCTCCTTGCACCTAAAACCCAGTCACGTTTTCTACTGGTCCTAATGAAATGATCAGGTATGTGAAAGATCACTTAGCAACACACAGAATGGTCCAAGCATGCCACCAGTGCAGAATTTTGTGAGAGCTGAAATGCTTCCTAGTGGGTATCTGATTAGATCTTGTGAAGGGGGTGGCTCAATCATCCACATTGTTGATCATATGAATTTGGAGGTAAAAAAGTTACCATGCCTTGTGTATTCTTTTATTTTATTCCCCTTAATTGTTTGAAATTGTGTATTATACCTTGAAATATAATTAGTTTTGGCATGCTAATATCTTTGACAAGGCGTGGAGTGTTCCTGAAGTATTGCGTCCACTGTATGAATCATCAACTGTGCTTGCTCAGAAGACAACAATGATGGTAAAGCTGTTATTCTGCTTCCATCATGTGTAGTCAATAATTTAAGCAAGGTATTTTATATGTGGATTTCTTGATGACTTTCCTTGATTTCTCACAGGCTCTACGCCAATTAAGGCAGATAGCTCAGGAGGTTTCTCAGTCTAATGTCACCAACTGGAGCAGAAGGCCTGCAGCTCTACGAGCACTTAGCCAGAGGTTGAGCAGGTTGATATATTACTCCTTTACCACCATCTATTGAATATGATAGTTTTCTATGCTGTCCAGAGCCTGATAGATTTTTATTTTTATTTTTATTTTCTCTGGCAGGGGTTTCAATGAGGCTCTCAATGGTTTTACTGATGAGGGGTGGTCTATGATGGAAAATGATGGCATGGATGATGTTAGCATCCTTGTTAACTCTTCACCTGACAAATTGATGGGCTTAAATCTGACCTTTTCTAATGGATTTCCAGCCGTCAGCAATGCAGTCTTGTGTGCAAAAGCGTCAATGCTTTTGCAGGTTAGCATACTGGAAGTGTTTCATTTATCTGAATAGTCCATGGGAAAACATTATTTAAAAAATTGTGGAGTACTTCATTCGTTGATTATGTTTCTCATGCATATAGATTGTTAAATTATCCCAGGATGACAAATCCTGTCGACTTGTTATGCAGATTTTGTTTTTGGTGTGTATGCTGGGGCTCAGCTTGTATGAGGCTGATTCTGCCTCTTTGTCAATCAGCCAAACTGTGCATAGCTCAAACACAGCATAGATGTTTGTTTTCATTACTATGAGTTTGATTAGTTTACCAATCAGTTGATTTAGCTTCCATTCAGTTGTAAAACTGCCCATGCCCCCTTGAGATACCAACCCAAAGAGAAAAGTTGGTAGGTAGTTTAAACTTTAAAGCCAACAAGGAATTGTGCAGAACAAATTCAGCACTGGTAGTGTATTTTGTACCAGAAACACTAGGCTCCGAAGTTCGAACCTCCTTGGCTTTGCCCAATGTACACTTGTGGGGGCATTGACGTACATCCCACGTTTTACCCTGTAGGGGTGGGTCCAAAGGGCCCTGCCTTGGAGGGATTCCTAGTCATTAAACAAAAATAATAATAATTTGCATTAGTAAAAATATAATAGTATATAGATGATACCTTCTGGAAAAAGAAATGAATAAGGGGTTAAACTAATGAACTAGCTTGGTTAGACTTGATATCTACCTTGTGTGTCACTGACTCACCAACACTACACACTTGCACGCAATCCTGCTAGTTAAAGTTAAGTTCAACTGCTGGAAATAGGTTATAACTATTCCCATGTCTACTGCTAGTTAAAGTTAAGTTCAACTGCTGGAAATAGGTTATAACTATTCCCATGTCTATATGATCAGGAGCCTCTAGATGGTTTGATACCATACAACCACTAGAGAGCCCAGAATTTTTTTCTTTTCAACGTTCCACTTTATCCATCTCATCTTTGGCACGTGCCTTGTACATCTCGTAGTTTCAAACATACAGTGCAGGTACATCAGGATGTTTAAGTGACTAGTTTCTGTGTCTCTGCAGCATAGGAGTTTTGCTGCACTGCTTTAATCTTTGGTTTTCAGGAAATGATCAGACATATCCAGAGTGGTATGCTGTAAGCAATGGTTAAATTGCTTGATCTGTTCCACAATAATGCCAATGATTGTTATTAGGTTTCCCTTGAGTGTGCAAAAATTTTGTCACGCTGCTATCACACATTTGTATAATATCTACAAATATTATGTTTATTTTTATGTGGCTCCTTTTTTTTTTTTTCCCACATAACTTTCAGGATTTAATTAATGATGGAAGCATCTTAGTAAGTGAAGTAAATTTCAGATTATTGTCATACTGTGGTCTATTAATGCATGCTTTCTCACACTCCTACTTGCCCTTTGGATTCATCTTCTCATTTCAAGTTTAGCATTTCTTTTTCTTCTCTGCATTGTCCTTTCTTTCAGAATGTGCCCCCTGCAATACTTCTTAGGTTCTTGCGGGAGCACAGGTCAGAATGGGCAGACAGCAGTATTGATGCTTACTCAGCTGCAGCTGTCAAAGTTGGTCCCTGTATCTTACCAAGGGCTCGAGCTGGAAGTTTTGGGGGCCAAGTAATTCTTCCACTAGCTCATACTATTGAGCATGAAGAGGTAAGTTATTTATTCTTGATTTACTGCTGAAATCACTATATAAGGTTGATCTTTTTTAATTCAAATTGACTTGTTGAATTGTAATAGTTTTCTTCAATTGTTGACATTGATTATACTTCTCTATTTGTCCTTATTAGTTATTGGAGGTCATTAAGTTGGAAGGTGTTGGCCATTATCCTGAAGATGCAATAATGCCTAGAGACATGTTTCTCTTGCAAGTAAGTCTTGTTTCTTAACATTTTGTATTATATTTACTACATGAATAATAATGATCTCATTTAAAAAGTTGTTTTTATTAGTTCTTCTGACAATAGCCTGCTTGTGATGAATCTTGCTGGGCCTGATTTAGTGGCCATTGGGCAAATCAAATCTATTGGCTCAATTCTGTACCGAGAGGTTTCCATTTTTTCAGCTTAAGTTTTCCTTTCGAATTTTTTTATGTTTACTTGGCTTCTTTTTTTTTTTTTTTTTGTATTATGGACATACACAAACCATCTGCATGCACCTGGGCATTTATAGTTGAATATTGTATGTGGACGCATGTATGCATACATCCACCCAAACAGAGATATAATAAACTATTGAGATGTTATATATCAAATCTGGAATCATGAGCAGACACTAGACAGTAAAGGATTATCAGGACCATGCCAACCAAGCTGGACTCCTTTAAGCCTGAGCCGACAAAATAACATCAGTGTGCTGAGGTCAGTCTGAAACACAATAGCTCCAGAACACCAGCTCTGATGATTTTGTTTTTATTTTTGCAATTAGTGTTGTGGTAAGGACTGGTGGTCATAGAGAATGGAAGGTTTGCTAATTCTTGAAGGTGTGACGACTAACTAACCTGTCAGCTATGGTGATTTCCTGTTGGAATTTTTCAATAAGGCGGTCTTTTGGGCCAGATTTGTGTGTATCTCGACTCTGTTCCCAGATAAGTTAGCAAAGTCTTTCCTATCTTTCTTCTCTATGGCTGTGACAGAAACTTGTAAGATAACTACTTGAATTTTGTTGAAGATGATATTTTCATCCTTCAGATGTAGTTATGTTAAGTAGTTGAAACTCTCATAGAATTCCACTGATGAAGATATTTTTTATTGTGTTCATTATTTATTCAGTCTTGAGCATATGTTCTGTATACTTCTATGACAGCTATGCAGTGGCATGGATGAGAATGCTGTTGGCACCTGTGCTGAACTCATATTTGCTCCTATTGATGCCTCATTTGCTGATGATGCACCTCTTTTGCCTTCTGGTTTTCGCATCATTCCTCTTGATTCTGGAAAGGTTAGCATCTATATTACATTTTAGGTACTGTATTCTGTTGGCATTCTCTTATTGTTCTCCCCTTCATTTCCTCTTTGGACTACCATTTATTCGATCAATTGTGACATTGTGCAGGAAGCCTCTAGTCCAAATCGCACCCTTGATCTTGCTTCTGCTCTTGAGATTGGACCAGCTGGAAATAAAGAATCTAATGATTGTGCTGGTATTAGTGGAAGTACAAGATCTGTGATGACAATAGCATTTGAATTTGTGTTCGAAAGCCACATGCAAGAAAATGTAGCATCAATGGCCCGACAGTACGTCCGTAGCATTATATCATCTGTTCAGAGGGTGGCGTTAGCACTCTCTCCATCTCATCCGAATTCCCATGGTGGTCTTCGGCTTCCTTTGGGTACTCCTGAAGCAAATACACTTTCCCAGTGGATCTGCCACAGTTACAGGTGTGTCACAGAAGTTCTTTTCTTTAGACCTGTAACACTATAAAGTTTGATCAATATGGTGCTTTGCCTTTGTTGATTTGCATGTTGCCATGGCCCACAGGCTTCATATGCTAGATTTGAATTTAGTGTTTGATTTGACAATGAAAGAGATTGCAAATGGGAATCCTATGAATGATTTGCTAATTTATGTCATCCTTACTGCTCTCAACATTGTTTCTCATTTTCACAAAATTTTTGTAATTTTTTTTTGAAATTCAGCTTGTTTGCTGACTATTTAAAAAGATTTATGTATTTATTTATTTTTTATTTGCTTCAGATTGCTTAGATGGACTAAAAGAGTTGGCTGATCCATCTTTAGAACAATTAGAGATCTGGATTTTTTTTCAGAACTAATATCTTCTTCATACATTGCTCTCGTGACGTTAGTGTTTCCATTTGTATGGTTTATTGTGGTACTAGTAGCAAATGGTTTCAAGTTGCAGTGGAGCATGACTTTGATAGCCCTTCGTCCTTACTAGGGTAATGAAATGTTTTGTAAAATTGAAAACAAGATATAGTGAAGTATGGTAGTCTATTTTACATTGTATTAGTGTTCTCAGTTGAAAAGCCAGTGAAAGCAAAATTTGGGAACTTTGCATACTCTTGTCATATGTCAAATCAAGAAGAATTTTCTGAATTTTTTGTTGGTTAGTGATAGAATACCTAATTTTTTAATTCCCATGCAAGGAAGTGTAGCATTTGGTCTTGTTTGGAACTTCAAATAAAAGTTTCGGCTGTTACTGCTCCCTGTGACATATATTTGTATTCTCTCCTGACAGATGCTACTTGGGAGTAGAGCTACTCAAGTCTGGCATTGAAGGAAGTGAGTCCACCCTTAAAACACTCTGGCACCACTCAGATGCTATTATGTGCTGCTCGTTAAAGGTGGTGTTTTTTTTTTTCATCTCTCTCTCTCTCTTTCATTTATGATTCTTGAGTTGTCTTCCTCTGCCATTATTGTTTGATTATTAGTTGCAGGTTCATGCTAGTTTTGTTATTAAATTTTTTTAAAGTTATTGATATTCCAAAAAGCTGAGAGATTGGTATTCACCATGGTTTAATAAACCATAGTTTAGTGTATTCATGATTAAAAAAGTGCACCTAGTTTACTTCCCATTGGATGCTTGGATGGGGTCTGGGAGGCATAGATTGGGTACAAACCTAACCTTTAGTATTATTTGTACAAAAGTGGCCGTCCTTTGGTTTCAAACCCACAACCTCAAGGTGTAACAATCCGTCAATGAGGTATTTGAAAAGTTTGACTTGTTTTCTTCCAAGGAATTCTTGATGTACAGGGTCCATATTACTATTGTAGGGTTAGTCACTGTGGGAGGAGACACCCCTTCATCATGGCTCATCAAACAATGACAGTTTGTCATATCAGAGAAAATGTCACTTGGATTGCACATGGCCACTGCATAGTTTATTAGATGCTTTGGGCACATGGTTTGTCTATGAGTTGAACATTTGTTAGTTGCCTTTAAGTGGTAGTGTTGCAATCTACAGTCGTTGAATTCAAATAGATGTTTAATACAAGTAAATTAGAGTAAAAGTTTACTGCAATTTGAATGCCACTGTTATGCATACCACTTCTAAAATTTTGCCAGCTATACTCGAAAACTGCCATTCTTTTTCATGAGACCAGTCTTCCTAGAATAATTTCTTGTTTTAAATTCCCTTTTTTTAGTATGGTGTGTTTCTTTCCTTTACTTTGTACTTATTATTGTATATATGATATATATTTTGAGTTGTAGAATATGTATTCTGTTCCATATGGAACCGCAATTCCACTGTAACATGGAGATGAATAAATTTTGCACAGAAGATTTGATTAGTTTCAGACACCTTGTAGGAATCGGAAAGGAAATGTTACAAAGTGATATTGTGACAATATTAGACAACTTTTCATTATGCTTTTTGAAATTTTCATGCAGGCATTGCCCGTTTTCACCTTTGCAAACCAGGCCGGCCTCGACATGCTTGAGACAACCTTGGTTGCCCTTCAAGACATAACTTTGGAAAAAATACTCGATGATCATGGAAGAAAAACTCTGTCCTCCGAGTTTCCACAAATTATGCAACAGGTTTGCTATTTTCTCATATAAAGCAATAATAAGAAGAATAAATTTGAGGTCGAAAGGAGTAGGGCTAGGTGAAGTACAATGTGCTATGTACTGAGATAAAATTGCATTGTCTTCAGTAGTATTTGAAAACAACAAACATCTATATAAGTTTCTATATAAAGAATGATTTGTTGTGAAAATTTGTGGTAAATTCTAGAATGACATAAAATTCTTGCCATGTTATTTTCGAAACTGTAGGAATTAAAAACATAATAAGATGAGGTCATTACAACATTCGCTGATTAGCTTAAATCTCCCAAAAGAGCTTTCACCTGTCCCAAAAGGAGGGTAGCGTCTAAGTTTTAATCACTGGTAGGACAAGTGTGTCTTACCTATCAAGATTTCCCCCCCCCCCGGTTCTTTCATATCTGCCTGTTTGATATTGTCTGCATATCTTCTTCTTTTTTTCATATTCTGATTACAGTAATTTTTAAATCACAATTAATTTCTCATGAACCTAATTTTTTGGAAGTTAAAATACAGTTTAAAACAGTTTTCTGAAATGCGTTGCCATTAAGAATATCAGATACAGTATTTGAAAACAGTTTGGTCCAAACATGTACTATGTTGCTGTCATTTTCTTTATTTTTAAGAATACAAAATAATTTTCAAAGACGATACCAGACATGATTTTAGATTTAGGAGACATTTGCTTATTGCTAGTCTCGAAAATTTCAATGTTGCTCAAATAATTGGAAATGACGCGTAAAACATGTTTCGCAGTATATTGTTGAAACTGCTTCATAGATTTTTTTTGTTATTTTCATATTTTTGTATTTTCGATAATAATCTTTTTGTATTTAAGCTGAAAGCCTGATGAATTGATATAGTCATTCTTTTCATTCATTCTATTAAGGGAGACCTGATAATCGAAGATTCCCTACTCAACTGACCTAATAAGTTTAATTGGTTTTGTTGAGTTTCTAATAGTCAAAACAACACAAAATTAGAATCCCAAATTTTTTCTCTCTCTTCATTATAACCCTTGTATGTAATTTTTTTTGGCAATCAAATGGATTATCACGTTACTTTCTTCCAAGTCTACTAATGCAAATAAATAAATAAAATAAAATAAAAAATTTAGGGATTTATGATGATTATTAGCCGATGTTTTTTGTTGGTTGGCTGGAAACTCTTCCAAGAGGCTGGATATTGGGATTTATTTGTAAAGCGTGGAGTATTGCTTGTTGATTTTGACACGGTTTTGGCCTTTTTCTTTTGTCAAGGGTTTTGCTTGTCTTCAAGGAGGCATATGTTTGTCAAGCATGGGAAGGCCAGTTTCTTACGAGAGAGCTGTGGCTTGGAAAGTGTTGAATGAAGAAGAAAGTGTGCATTGCATGTGTTTCATGTTCATGAATTGGTCATTTGTTTAATGGTCAGGACTAAGATGTACAACTCTTAATACTGCTCTCTTTCCTTCTGTGTGTGTTGTGTGTTTGTTTTAGGTTTTTTTTCTTGCTCATTTTGGTGTGGTACCTGGGGGAACTGATAGGGACCCATTGCATGTTGGTCGTCCTTTTGCAATCTTTGTGCATTGAATCTGATTCCATGCTTTTGTTGCAATGCTGTACCTATCTATACACACCCAATTCAGTCACTCTTGGCACTTTTTAATTAATGGCTGTAATATTGGAAGAAATATTTAGTAAGGTCGACCTTTATAGAACACAATGGTTTGCTCTTTTTTGCTATTTTCAAATTATTTTATTTTATTTATTTATTTATTTTTTGTGTGTTTTAAAATATTCGATTATGTCTCGAGATTTTTTTTGCTACTTAATGGCCCAAACTTGGGCATGGGATCCTTTGTTCATCTATCTGTAATGTTTTATTTGTGTCAATCATGTGTTTACTTATATTGCGTTTGGTTGGGAGATTTGTGGAGGGATTTGGAAAGGAAAATAGAAAAGGTAGGTGAAATGTAAATAAAACATACTTATATTTCACCTAGTTTTACATATCTTTTCCCGTTAACTTTCTAAATCTTTCCTCAAATTCCCCAACTAAACAAAGTGTTAAGGTTTAAAATTCATAAAATATTTTGTTCCTTAACAACAAGTCATCCAATAGTCATGGATGAAAATTATTATTATATTTTACACTAAAATGTATATTTTACTCTTAGATCGTTCGTGTGTTTACACATCACTATATTAGTTGTTTGCTTTAACCTGAGGATGTGAGTCTAATTATATTAAACTTATGACGGTGGTTCTGATCCTATGTACAATCACTGAGATTAATCCAATTGTCCAGAATTTTTTGTTGTTTGTTTTTTGTTTTTTTGTTTGGTTGGGATGGCCTTTTGGGTCTTGTTTATTAATATAATATTTCTCATGTTCTCAAAAAAAAGAAAAAAAAGTGATTCATGAACATGAAGCACAAAGTAAGTAGAACCCTGGCTGTAAATCCAAAGTAAGTAGGCATTAAGAATCGCTTTTGTACAATTCATCAAATTTGTGAAAAAGCGATTCTCATTGCCAAATTGAACCCTGGCTGTAAATCCATAGTAAGTTGTCCCAGTTAATAAACATGTAGTTGTTAAGGGAGTAAACTTTTTTATTTTTGCATCACTAACGGAGAGCGAGGGAGAAAGAAGGAAAAATATTTGTGAGATGGAAAATTTGAGATTTTAGGGTGCTCTTACAAGTATTTTTAGCCATTTGATTCAAAATAGAAAGGAAACGGAGAAAATGGAAATGAAATTGGTGCTCACTTTGAAAGATTTAATGCTAGTAGAATTTGTGGATATCAAGGTGTTAAAAAAAAAAAAGAAAAATTAATAAAGTGATTTTAAAATGGTGAGTGTTAGTCTGAGCTTATTCTCAATAGCTCTCTCTATTTTATTTTATAGGTCTCATTTTGAGTTTATAACAATATTCTGAACTGTGCTATTTGTAAATTCAAAAATAAAGATGAGTTGTATAGAAAATAAATTTTTTCGGATATCATTAGACGCATGAACAAATTATATACACATATATATATATATATATATTTTATTTAAATGAACGATAATTATGAATTTAAACTTAAATTGTTTATTTTATAAAACAAAAGTGTGATTGGTTCATCTATTTATTGATTTTCGATAAAATTGATATTTTCAGATGTGTAGGATTGCAAAACTGACTTCAATGTGTTTGTTAATCTTTCCTTTTTTTGATACGTAATTAAATCTATAATACATTGGTACTGACTCTATGTTTGGGATTTCTATTTAAGACTCTTGAATCTGTTCTAGTATATTTTTAGAAAAATATAGAGAAGACCATTATAGTTTTCAACCAATCCTAAACCTTAAACCCTCATTGTTATGCTTGTTGTCATGTATATGTTAAGTTCTAAGGTTATCTTTCATATTATATTATTTAGCATTCATAATTCTTAATACAAGGTGTTGTGGTTTTCGTTCAAAAAATAAAAAAAATAATAATAATAAAAATAAGAGTGTTGTGGTTCGTTTCATAATTCGTAAAATTCTGAGTTTTTGTTCTCTTTGTTGTCTGCTCCCATGAATTCCTATCTATTTTATTTTATTTTACCCTTTTCTTTTTCCACCTAATTTATGTGTTTGACGATCTTTACCCAGTTCTCTATTTTTCTATTTGACTATTTTGGTATCTTCTACTTTTATGGATTTGTATTTCTTTATTTTAAGCCTATGTTTGCGAGATGGATTTGAAAAGAGATCTATGGAGTGAAATGGAAAGGGAAAAAAAAATTTACATTTTATTTATTTTTGCATTTTTTATTTTTTTGTTTCTTCATAAATAAAGAGACTGTGCATTATGACTTGCTACCGGATTATTAAAAAAAATTGAAAAATCTTGCACGGAGCTATATCACTTTATCGTTTGGTGTGTACAGTGTTTTTCTCCATATAGTTTTGTGTCTGCTTTATGTATTTGAATTTTCTAACGATTATAACATGCTTTAATTTCTGTGACTAGATTAGTTGTTTGGTTTCTTTTGTCGTCACTCTTTGCAAGCTGGATAGAGACCTTTAGAAAGCTATGTTTGCCATTATCATTCGATATTTGCTTTTTAAATAGTGCAATGATAAATTATTTAATTTTGAAGTTTTAATTAAATTCTAAGAATATGGTAAGGAATAAAAATAAATAAATAGATAAAGTTAAAATATCACATCACAATACGACTCACTCCAAAACTCATTAGAATTCATTTATTAAAGTTTTCAATCACTTTTATTTTAAATATTTATGTTAAAAATTTTCTAGAGTATGATTATGTGTTCGGAGCAAAGTACCCTATTTGTAGGCCCCGTAGGCCCAGTGCTATTAGGAGCTCTAATAAACAAGTATTAGAAAATTCTAATGGATGGGCCCCACTGTAATGTGATGTTTTGTTATTATTTATTTATTTTTTTTTATTACATCATTAGAGTTTAATTAGAGATCTAAAATTAGGGGACATATCAATGCTCTTAGTAGGGATTAGCATTACCTTATTATGACTTATTTTTCTGGAGCTCTATTTCGCAATTGGGAAACATTTATCCTTGATAGGGGATTTGATAAGGAATTTGAAAAAAAAGAGAGAAAAAGATGTGTAAAATTTGATGAAATATAAGTATATTTTATTCATATTTCACTTTTTTTTTTTTAATCTCTTTTCAAATTCCTCAATTAAATACAGCATTAAGGGTGCAATGAATGGTAACGTGGCTTCAAAGTGATACTTACTAACCATTTTAATATGCTTTTGTGCATTTGTCAACCATTGCATGTACCTGATAATTCTCTTTTCAACACTGTCATCGCATAATTGGTTAATCACCAAGTCTTGCTCATATAAGAATATCATTTTGCTATTTCACTTATATTTATCATTGTCAATTTAACTTAAAAGATAATGCTTTATGCCCTCATGTTTAAAAATTTGATTGGACTGTTAATGAATTTTTATTTTGACAAAAAGTGAGTAAATTCAATGTGAAGTTTCAAAATTGATGACAAACGTTAGTCAAAATTTTCATTTGGGACTAAAATTCTCATTTACAAAAGTTTATTCTTGGTTATGTTTTATTCTTTCTTGAAAAAATAATCAATAAGTCTTATTTTGTTTTTAATAATACCATTAAGCTCTATAAAGTTTCAATAATACTATTGAAAAATATATGAAATCAGCACTGTATTATTTTCTGTGACTATTGATGGAATTTTAATAAATGTTTGCCCTTTTGGATTCTTTACCATAAAATAAAATTAAAAAATCATAATTTCAAACAACAGAAAATGATCTTTTGATCCAATTGTTAGTGATATTTTGTTTAATATAATTTTTATAATTAAAATTGTTTATGAAATTATTATTCATATTAAATGAGAAGGGTAAAAATATAATCAAATTTATATACTTAAATTTTGTGAGAGTTGTTCATAATAAAATTTGATAGGAATAATAATATTAAAACAAAAGAGGACTTAAGGGTTAATTTTTCCTTGTTTGGTTCTATAGTTTGAATGTAACTCAATGAGTCAAACTTTCATTTTTAGATTGTTTCTATATATATGGCTTTTGAATTTTGTTTTGGCCTTCCAATTGTTGGAAAAAATAGTTTTATGGTGATTTTCTTGTGAAATTAAAGTGGTTCCCAACCACCGGTTGAGGTCGGATAAAATGAGTTTAGATTTTTTGTAATAAGATTTTTACACCACAAAAAGAATGACAAAAAAATTATTGAAAATTGAACGAGAAATTATCTCATAAAGTTGGTCTTATGAATGGGGTATTGAGAATAGTATATCCCACATTGATTGTAGATGAAAGCATTGATGGGTATTTAAATTCTAAATTTTTGATAAGGATACGAGTTCTTTGGGGTATCCAAATTTTTCGAATGAAGGAAGTTATAAATGCTTTAAGGATGGGTTTGGGCCAAAACTATGCCAAGTTGGTTATGTAAAAATTGCCACACATGCGCGTCGCAAGATCGGGTTGGGTCCATGACCTATGGGTCGTGGATCTCAGATCTTTGGGCTGAGTTTGAGACTTGAGGGAATGGGTTAGGTTTGGGCTGGGCCGAATTAGTGGCCCATCAACCCAATCTTTTCGGGTTGAGTCTGCTATGTGGCTGTTGATATAGTTATATGCACGTATATATTGTGTGTAACTTTTGCACTTAAGATGGTGTCTTATTTTCCATCAGTTTTGGTGCATTACTTCTTTAGTTTTTGCATAATTGACGTATGCATTTGTTGCAGGAAAAACTCTGCCTCTCTTTTCTATTGTGTGCAAAAGGAGACTTTCCTCTTTGATTTTAGATATAGAATTTTGTTGCTCTTATATTATAAGGAAAATGTCTCGTAGCTCAAATTTTGTGGCTCAAAAGTGGTTGTTCTGTACTCAAAACGACGTCGTTTTGGCCATTTGAGCCACTTTTGAGCCACAAAATTTGAGCTACGTAGCATTGTCGATATTATAATCAGTCTACCCATAACATATTCTTACTGTGTGAGAAAGTGCTACCATTGTTAGTTCGCCAGAGTTAACCAGAAGGTGCTTTTGGCTTAGTGGGTTCTAACTGTCATATCTTAGAAGATGGACGCCGACATATCTCCAGCACCCACTATGAGGCGGCGAATCTGTTTGAAGGAGATTATGGTATCACACAAGTTTCGGTTTACATCCTCTTCTTATTCAGTATTTTATTTTGT